CCAAGCCCTGTCCAACCTGGCCTTGGACACTTCCAGGGATGGGGCAGGCTCAGCTTCCCATAAGGAATTCCCTTAAGGAATGCTCAGCTCTTGTGTTTCTCACTTACTCCCTGCACTGCTGCACTGGAAGAGTCACGGAATCATGGAATATCCAGAGTTGGAAGGGACACACCAGGACCATCAAGTCCCACTCCTGGCCCTGCACAGGACACCCTGAAAATCCCAGAAAAAAGGCTCTTTTTTTGTGTGTGCCAGGAAAAAGGCTCCTGCTGTCTCAGAGCAGCACTCTGGCTCTTAAGAGCCCCAAAAAGGAGGCACTGAGGGGTTGTTGTTTTTTTGCAGGCAGCACAATGCCCACGTGTGCTGTGTCCCCTGTAACCCTGTGTGACATCCTGTCCTGCCTGCAGCCCTCACATCCTCACAAAGTTTCCCAAGCCCTGGAATGAAACTCTCTTGGTTCTTAAGGCCTTGTCAAACTTTCTCACCATGTGCAGGGGCTGGGGAAGCTTGAGAAAATTCTCCTTGCTGCATCCCTTTCCTTGGAAGGTTTAACTCTTTCCCATCCTATTCCAAAGACTGTGAGGATTTGCTTTTTGTGTGTGTGTGTGGGCTGGGGATTTGTAGGATTTATAGTGAGTCTTGTTATCCCGCAGGAAAATGTGGACACTCGATTTTGATTGTGGAGCTACAAAACCTGGTAATGCCAAGGGTCTGCTGGGTGTGGAGTGACTCCATCCTCTGCTCCCTTCCCTGGAATCCCAGAGGACTCTGCACAGCTCCAAACCAAGTGTTGTCTTGGCTCTTCTGCCTCCCTAAAAGAATTGTTCTCTTTCACATTAAATAAGCTGCCAGCTCCCTTCTTTATTCCCTAATTGACAGGCTGTGCCTGGTGCTGGGACACCCAATCCATGAGAAATCGTGTCCCTGGTTTTAAAGGAAATACAGACTCAGCTTGTCTCTCCATAATCTGGGGTAGGAATATTTGTAGGGAAGCTGCACTTGTATGGAAGTGGCTGGAGCTAATGGAAGAGGGAGGAATCAGCCTTCTCTTCTCTCCACATGAGGACACTTTCCCAAAGCAATTGGCTCCTCAGGGGAAGTTTGTGGTTGAGGGGTTAAAGTGTGGAAGGGAACAGTTTGGGAGGGTTGTGCCCGGTCCTGTACATGTGGGCACCTGGGTAGGTGCTGCTCTCTTGGAGCATGGATGCCTAAAAACTGGGATGGTCAGAGGAGCTGTCCTGGCTGGGCCACATTCCTCACTGGGGCTGTCCAGGGCTATCCCAGGCACTCTCACAGGCTTGGGTCACCTCACTGCCCATCCCTGCTCCATGAAACCCTCCTTTGTTCTTCCCTCGTGTCCTCTTTACGTCCTTGAATAGAGCAAAAATTCCTGGTCAGCCCCTCTGCTCTGGAACCAGGCTGGGAGAGCTGGGGGGGTTCCCCTGGAGAAGAGAAGGCTCCAGGGAGAGCTGAGAGCCCCTTGCAGGGCCTAAAGGGGCTCCAGGAGAGCTGGAGAGGGACTGGGGACAAGGGATGGAGGGACAGGACACAGGGAATGGCTTCCCACTGCCAGAGGGCAGGGTTAGATGGGATATTGGGAAGGAATTTTTGGCTGTGAGGGTGGAGAGGCCCTGGCCCAGGTTGGGCAGAGAAACTGTGGCTGCCCCTGGATGCCTGGAAGTGTCCAAGGCCAGGTTGGACGGGGCTTGGAGCAACCTGGGCTGGTGGAAGGTGTCCCTGCCCATGGCAGGGGATGGAACGAGCTGATCATTAGGATCCCTTCCAAATCAAACCATTCCATGATTCCCTGATAGACATTTGCCAGGGAAGTCTCTCTTTGCTGCTGATGTGGCCATGGATGAATTGGTAGCTCCCTGTTATAGGCCGGTGTTGCTTTTGGTTGGGAAGTTGGAGCTTTATATTAAATATATGCAAGATATTACAATTATTTTTAGAGGCCCACTTACCTGCTTCCCTCTAGTTCCCAGAAGAAAGGGGATCCCTCAGTTTTTTGCAGGATGGGGGTTGGGTGGCCCCAGCATTCCCCCTCTCCGTGCTGGAAGGGGATGCAGCAGCTGGGCTGTGTGTGCTGCCAGCACAGGCTGATCACATCCTCTCCCCAGCACTGTTTTCTGATTAAATACATACAAATTGCTGCTCTCCATCATCAAACAGTGTTCAGTGCTTTGGGGTGCTCTGCTGATGCAATTCTGGTGCACCCAGGCCTGATCTCAGGGTAATCTCTGCTTGGTGGTTCCTCACGTGCCTCAAATTTGAGGGTTTAGCTGCATTTCAGAGTTCCTTGTGACTTTTATTCCAGCACCAGCTGTTCTTGTTCTGCATCCAAATGATGGAGAGCTTTTGCTTCAGGGCTTTGCAGAAACACAGCCTGGGGGGCTCCATGTGTCATGGAGAGGGGGGAATATGGGAGAGCAGGAGGGAGTGCAAGGGAATCCAGGAGAGCACGAGGGGGTGGAAGGGACACTGGGGAGGAGGAGGGGGTGCAGTGGGAAGTTGGGGAGAAGAAGGGGTGCAGTGGGAATCCAGGAGAGCAGCAGGAGTGCACTGGGAAGTTGGGGAGCAGGAGGGGATGCAAAGGGAAGGTGGGGAGCAGGAAGGTGTGGGGGGCAGGAGGGAGGACAAGGGAAGGTGGAGAGCAGGAGGGCCTGCAGGGGGAAGTTGGGCAGGAGGGGGTGCAAGGGATGGTGCAGAGCACGGGGATGCAGTGGGAAGTTGGGGAACAGGAGGGAGTGCAAAGGGAAGGTAGGGAGCAGGAGGGGGTGTGAGGGAAGTTGGGGAGCAGGATGGGTGCAGAGAAATTTGGGGAGCAGGAAGGCGTGCAAGGGAAGCTGGGGGGGAAGAGGGTGTGCAAGGGAATCCAGGAGATCAGGAGGGGGTGGAAGAGAAACTGGGGAGCAGATGGGGGTGTAGGGGAAGTTGGGGGTCAGGAGAGGAGTTGCAGAGAAAGTTGGGGAGCAGGGTGGGATGCAGTGGGAAGTTGGGGGGCAGGAGGGAGTGCAGTGGGAGTTGGGGAGAAAGAGGATGTGGAAGGGAAACTGGGGAGGAGAAGGGGGTGCAGAAGAAGTTGGGGAGCATGAGCGGGTGCAGTGGGAATCCAGGAGAGCAGGAGAGGGTGCAGGGGAAGTTGGGGAGCACAGGATGGTGCAATGGGAAATTGGAGAGCAGAAGAGGAGGGGCAGGGGAAGTTGTGGGGCAGGAGAGGGTGCAATGGGAAGTTGAGGGGCAGGAGGGGGTATAATGGGAAGTGGGGGGGGGGGGGGGGGCACTGCAGGGAGGGAGGGTGTGCCCAGAGCCGTGGGTGCTGGGAGGGCACTGGGTTCATCCCAGCTGCAGGAAGCTCTGATGGGCACAGCTTGGGCTCCCCTGCCAGGAGCAGCTGTGTTTGGAGAGCTCCAGCACATCACTGACCATCTCCTGGCATTCTGGGGGCTGCTGATGGGGTGAGGGTACAGGGATGGTGCTCGTGGCTATTTCAGAAACCCGTTTTTTGGGCTAAAAAGCTTCATCCTTCCAACTTGTATTAGTAAAGATCAGCCTTAAATAACAGAGTGAGCTCTCACCATGGAGTGAGGGCAGGGACTCTCCTTTTGGTCTAAGTCTTTCCAGGCTTGGCTTTCCATGTTGCTCCCCCCTGCTCTGGTCTGTGCCATCCCCTGTCCCTGGCTCCTGCAGCTGTGGGCCCACAGTGGGGGTTAACTCCTGCCTCCTGGGGCACAGTGCCCTTTCCTGGCAGGAACAGCTGTGAGGCACAGGGGCACAAAGCCCCTTGCTGCCCTGGTGAGCACAGGTGACAGTGTTCCTGCATGTTTTCCATTTGTTTTCCCAGGAGAAGAAGAAGAAAAAGAAGCACAAGGCGAAGGAGTCCTCAGAGTCAGACTCGAGCAGCTCGGACTCGGACAGCTCGGGGGCTCAGCCCTCCAGCAAGAGGAGCAAGCATTCCAAGGCTCCCAAGAAGAAGAAGAAGAAGAAGAAGAAGCACAGGAAGTAGCCCTGGGAATGAGCAGGGGCAGGGTGGGGAGCTGGCATTGCCAGTCCCTGGTGCACACCACGAGCAGCCAGCAGGAACCAGGGACAGAGTTTCCTTCTCAAAGTCACCCAGGCACGTGGTGTTACCGGTGTGTTACAGGTGTGACCTTGCTACAGGTTGTCCTCTGTCACCTTGGCACAGGCTGCCCCTTTCTCCCACAGCTCGTGCCAGGACAGGCTCATGACACCCTGCAGGGCACCTCTCCCAGGCACCTCGCCAGGGCACCTCTCCTGTCCTGCAGCCTCGTGGATGCGCTGCCAGCGGGAGCCTGGGTGACATCAGCTCCTGCAGAGCTGAGGTGGCACTGCCAGGCTGTCCCCACACTGCTCAGGGACAGCAGTGGGTGTTGCTGGGCCCTGGGTGGGACCACGTCCCCCCCTCCTTGGCTTTGGGCTGCAAAGCTGCCCCAGCTCCCTCTTGGTCTGCAAACACTGGGAGTGGAGGAGCGAGAAGCACGTGGGGAGTGGAGATATTGTCAGTAAACACTCTGCAGTGTTTGCTGCCTTGGAAAGTGATGGAAAAGAAATCTCTGCCATTTCCATTTCCAACTGTACTTTGTAGCTGCTCTTTTCTTGTCCCCGCCACACTCGGGCAGGGAAGGAACAGGGCACAGACCTCCAGGAAAGGGTTTTTTTGGAAGTCTTGGCTGCTTCCCCAGGTCCCTGGGGTGGGAAGGGGGTGTGTGGTGAGGCAACCCATAGGAGAAGCCTGGTGCCTTCTGTAAGGGAGCAGCTGGAGCATAAATCTTGTAACTGGAGCTGAAGGTCGGGGGAAGGGATGGCAGGGGCTGGGCAGTGACCGCAGGGGGTGTCTGCCAGGAGCAGGAGCAGCTCCTCCGTGCTGGGACAGATGTGGTGAAGGAATTGGGGAGGTGAGTCTTTCCTGTTGCCTCTGGCTCTACAGGGAGGACAGAGTGGGGTTGGCAACTCCCTGTTGGTGTCACAGCAGGAGGATTTGGGGTTGCTGGTGCAGCCTGTCCCTTCCCCGTGTGCTTTGCCCTTTCCTGTGCTGCTCACCCCAGTTCCCCATGGCTGCATCCCCCTCGGGACCAGTTCCCTTCCCAAAACCAGCCACCAAGTGCTCGGGACCTTGATTCCAGTCCTGCCCTGGTGGAAGGATCCCTCTCCAGGGAAGGAGCTTGTCTGGATCCTGGGCAATCCATGGGCAGAGCTGCCGTGGGACTGAACAAATATTCCCCCTGGGAAAGCACATTTCTAACCATCACAGCCTCTTGTTTCCACAGCTTGGAGAAATGGGCTCCAGGGATCAGTGGGCATTAACCCCATCCCTGCCAGGGCTGGTTGAACCCTGTGTGGTGGCTGAACACTGCAGATGGGCACATGCCAGACCAGCCTTTTCCAAGCAAACCGACCACAGAGCTGTAACAACACGGCCTTTATTTTTTTTCCATGCGAGTTTTCCCATTATTAATTAAAAAAACCAACCCCAACAAGAAACCACAAACCCACCCCCAGGCCCTGGGGGGGCTCTGGGGTGGGGACAGCAGGAAGTCCCGGCGGTGCAGCAGCTCCAGTCCCACGTGGAGCTGTGCCCAGCACGGGTGGGGATGTGGGGTGTGGGCTGGACGTGGCACTGGGTGACAGCAGGGGCTGGGGCAGCGTCTATGTCGCCTTCTCGTAGGTGCGGGTGCAGACCACGTTGCCCATGGTGAGAGTCTGGGGGCACATGATGAGAGAGGGGTTAGTCCAGCTCTTGGCCTGCCCTGCACCGAGCCCTTCCCGGCTTTAACACCCTTTCCTTACCAGAGTTAACTTCCCATCCTTCAGCTCCCGCACCAGCGATGTCTCCTTCCCGTCCCACTTCTGCACGTGGACGAGTTTCCCGCCGTCCAGCTTCACCACAGACTGTGGGGAGAGATAAGGCCTGCTGTGAAACCCTCCTTCCCAGGCTCTCAGGGCTCTGGGGGGGCTTTATCCCTTGGAGAGGAAGGTGTTGGGTGTCCTTTGCTCACGCTGGAGCCCCTCAGTGCTCAGGATCAGGCTGTGGGTGCCACCCTCGGGATGCCCATCTGGGATCATCCCACCCGGCTTGGTTAGTCCTCCTCAACCCGGGACAGGTCCTGCACTGTCCTCTGCCTCGGCTGCCCCAGCGTGCCCTCCCTGCCCCGGGGCCAGCGCAGGGAGCCCTGCCCAGGGCCGCATCCTGCTGCCTGGCCCCGGGAGCTGAGCCCGGCCGCTCCCCAGCGCGGCCCCCCGGCCCCGGAGGGCTCAGGGAGGCGGCGCGGGTATCGGGGCAGGTACCGGCGCTTGGAACCGCAGCTTCTCTGCCCTCCGGAGGGCTTGGGAGGGCTTTTGGAGGAGCTGATCCGGCAAACGCGCCTCTGCTCGCCGGGCCGCTGCTGCTGACTCAGCCCCGAGCCCGGCCGTGCCAAGGGTGGTGTGACTGCACGGGGTTGTGCCAGGACAGGCACTGCCCCGGCCCCATCCTGCCCTGTGCCCCCCACCCCGCCCCTCCAGCGCCGGGGCTGCCCCTCGGGTGCCCCCATGGCTTGGGTCGGTTCATAGCTCCTGTGTCCCCACAGCCCCAGGACCCCACAGGGCTCTGGGTGCTCCCCCAGAGCTCAGCTCTCCCTACAGCTGGGTTGTCCCCACTGCTCAGGTGCCCAAGAGTTGGGGTACCTACAGCAATTTGAGTGCCCCACAGCCCTGGAAACCATTGCCAGAGGGCAGGGTTAGATGGGATTCTGGGGAGAAGCTTTTCCTGTCAGGGTGGGGAGGCCCTGGCCCAGGTTGCCCCGAGAAGCTGTGGCTGCCCCAGCCCTGGAAGTGTCCAAGGCCAGGCTGGATGGGGCTTGGAGCAACCTGGGCTGGTGGAAGGTGTCCCTGCCCACGGCAGGGGGTGGAACAGGATGGGCTTTGAGGTCCCTTGCAACCCAAACCATTCCATGATTCCATGCAGTCGTGGGTGCCCCACAGCTCCACACATCCCCCCTGCCCCAGCCCTGCAGCCCATGGCTCGTCCTGGCCCCTGCTGAACCATCACGTGCCCTCTGGCCCCCGGCCGAGGGGCACCACGTCCCCGGGCTGGGCAGGAGCTCTTGGCTGGTCACACGTTCCTGCTGCTTTGAACAGTTTCCAGCAGTTCCGGAGGGTGGGAATGGGGGTGGGAATGGGGGTGGGCAGGGCCCTGCTGCCCCGTGTCTGCCCGGCTCACACTCCCTCCCTTCCCCCCATCCTCACTCCCTGCTCAGCTCTCGTGCTTCCTGCTTTGGGGCCGGGAAGGGGTTTTGTGCCCAGCAAGCCTCAAGGTGCCCCCTGAGGTCCCCCCCGGGCTGTGTGGGGGGCACGGGGCTGCCAGCTGCTCCCTGCACGGGGGATTGGGGATTCAGTGGTGTGCGGGACCAGCAGCTGGAAACCAGGGAAAAGCAGGGGCTGGGTCAGTCCTGCAAGGGAAAATGTCTTTGCAGGGTGGGAGAGGCCATGAAAGGTGCTCTGACCTCCCTCAGGTGATTTTTCCCTTGCTCTTTTGGTGAGGAACAGCTCTGCCCAGAAGATTTTGGGCTCCCCAGGGACCCCCGGGGATGCATCAGCCCCTGGGGAGGCACCAGCCGGGTGGGATTGTCCGGGTACTCCATCCCTGCTGGGATGCCTGCTTGGGAGGGCAGGCAAAGAGGGGGCTCAGCAAAGAGGGGGCTCAAAAAAGAGGTCTTGTGCTCCTCTCCCCCTGGAGTGGGGACACTCACCACCACCCCACTACATCCCCTGGCCTCCTCTTGAGCAAGCTGGCACTTGCAAGCCTGGCTCTTGCACAACCTTCCCGTCAGCTCCGGGGCCCATCCTGCTCCCAGAGCTGCAAGATGGGCTGAGGGGGGGTTGTGTGGACCAGACCAGGCTCAAGCACCAACCCCGGCGGGCAGAGGGGTGTTCCCCTTCCACAGGCAACCAGGACAGAACCCTGGAGCCACGGGATGAACCCCCCGGAGCCCAGAGAGCCTCTGTGGGGTGGGCAGGGCCGGGGGCAGGGCCGGGGGCTCACCTTGACGTGCCTGTCGTCCGCCGTGGTCTCGTCGAACTCCTCGCCCAGCTTGAAGTTGATCTCGGTGTTCTTGAAGGTGCTCTGGGTCTTCACGGTGACCTTGTCTCCGTTCACCTCGATGATGGTGGTGGGCTTGGTGAGCCCGGCCATCTGCCGCGTGGCAAAGCTCACGCCTGAGGGGAGAGGGTGGGGGGTGAGGGCGATGGAGGGGCAGGATGCTCCTCTGATCCCTGCGGCATCACCCCGGAGCTCTCCCTCCCTCCCCGTGATTCATCCCCAAAACTGCTCCCCACTCACGGTCCTGGGGGGCTTTGCGTGCCTGCCACACTTGGGGGGGCTCTGGGGCACAAAGGGGCATCCAGGGAATGCTGTCGTTGCTAAGGGATGGATCCTGCACCGGCGCCCACCAGCTCCCGGGCTGGGTAAGGGGGGCACTGGTGCCTGTGCCCCCTCCCTGCTCTGCTCCGGCGTGGGGGACGCACCCTGCGCGGGGGCTGGGGCTGGGTGCTGGGGGGCTTGGGGGCCAGTAAGGGCTGGGGGGTCCCGGGTGGCTCCCAGCACCCGGGGGGAGGCACCTCATCCCTCCACCCTGTGCCAAGGGTTGCCCAGGGGAAGAACGAGACCACCTCACCCAGCTCGAGACCCCCTCACCCAGCCCAAACCTCCGCGCACAGAACCCCAGAGCCCCTCCCAAAAAAGCACCCACCCAGGCAGCAGCGACCCCCCCACCGCCTGCGAGTCCCTCCACGCCAGACCCCCGCGTGTGGGGGGCTTCACCGGGCAATTTGGGGTAGAGGGGTGTGTAAAAGAAAAAAAGGTGACGATGTGACTCCAACCCCGCTCAGCCCCCCCTACTCACCCAGAGCCTTCATGTACTCATCGAAATTGTTGGTCTCCACCAGCTTCCAGGTGCCCGCGAAGGCTTCCACCATGGCGAGGGGCTCTCAGGAGGTTCGGCGCTGCGAGCGTGGCACCGGCTGCAGCTGCTGCGGCCCCGCCACCGCCTTAAATAACGTCCTCATCACATGATTGGAAAGAGCACAGCGCTCCAGAAATACTCCCCCTGGCAGCGCTGGCAGCGGCCACTCCCGGCACGGCCACCCGGACACCCGCCACCGGCCACCGACCCCCGCCGGGCCCCCCGGGCTGGGGCAGAGACAGAGAGAGGGGCACTTGTGTCATGAGCTGTGCGCGGGCTCGGCGGGGCGCGGCGGGGCCGGGGATGCGGGCTGTGGGGAACTGAGGCAGGGCAGGGCTGGGCACGGGGTGTGTGCCCACCGCAGGGGACGTGGGGAGGGGGCGGGTGCTGCCCGTGGCGGTGGCACAGGGTCAGAACTTGGGGACACCGGCAGGGACAGTGCCCTTCGGGGGACAGGGAGGCTGGGCTGGGGACACGGAGGCACGGGGAGCACCAGGAGGTGTGTGGGGACATTTAGGGACTCCAAGGGAGTGTGTGGGGACATGTGTGACCCCCCTCAGCCCCCAGCTCCTTGTGTATGGGGGGACACACGTGACCCTGTCCCTGCTCCGTGTGCATGTGGGGGTACATATGTGACCCCTGTGTGTGGAGACACACACGTGTGCCCCCAGGGATGCTCTGTGTGTCGGGGGGACGCTGGGGACATGGACAGGCACGGGGCTGTGGGACCCTCCCACGTGTCCCCTCACTTCGGGCTCCAGTGACAGTGGGGTCGGGGTCAGTGCATCCCCCAGAGCCATCCCAGATGTGGGATCACCCGTGGCCATGGGATTCAGTGTCCCCCAGTCCCTGGGGACAGTCCTCCTCCTGCCCCCATCCCCTGTCTCCAGAGGGACCCAGCTGGGGGTTCGGGTGTCCCTGAGCCCCATGGCTGCAGCGCGTCCCCTCGTCCTAGGGACTCTGGGGTCAGAGTGACCAAGTCCCTGAGTGACCTGGGGACACTTTCTCCCTGTGTCTGGCCCCAGTGTGTCACCACGGGCACCCAAAAATAGCCAGAGCTCGTGTTCAGCTTCCTCCTGCTGACGCTGCCACCGAGCACGACCCCTCACCTCCCCTCACCTCGTGCCCTGGGGGGGACAGGAGCTGTCACTGACCTCTCACCTCGTGCCCTGGGGGTAGAGGCACTGTCCCCACGGGACGGTGTCCCCTCGCCCTGTCTGGGACACCCCCTGGGCTCGGCTCTCCCAGGTCAGACAGACGATTTATTCCCTGTGGAGCCAGAGCCCCCATCACCCCCACACATCCCATGGCCTGGGAGGAAACACAGAGGGCAAGGACTGTCCCCTTGTCCCCTCACCTGGGTGTCACTGTCCCAAACTTACACAGCCCTGTCCCCACGGATGCTCCCACAACAACAGGACCATGAGATGGGAGCATTCACAGGAACAGCTGTCCATGTGCAGGGTCACCAATCCACAGGGAGATCAGTCCACAGGGCCACCCACCCTGAGGAACATCAATCCACAGGGAACACCCACCCACAGGGAACACCCATCCACAGGGTCATCCACATGTAGGATCCCACACCCATAAGGTCACCCACCCGCAGGAACACTGATCCACAGGGTCACCCACCCACAGGGACAGCCACTCACAGGGAACACCCATCCATAGGGA